ACGGTGGGATTCGAACCTACGACCTTTGGAATACTAGCCCAATGCTCTTCCAACTGAGCTACGCGGTCAGGACGGTTCGAGTAAGTGATCACTTACTTATTTTTCAAGCTCGCCCGGTGTGGATATGCACTCAGAGTAACATCGCAAGCATATTATTCACCTGAGTACACAACACCAACACAGAAAAAAAAAATGCATGTGTTTTTTAATTTGTAGTTAAGAGGATTGTAACTGACAATAAAAAACATACCATTCTTAAAATGTGTTTTTAAAACTGTAGTTGAGAAGATTTCAACCTTAACAGCATTATGATTTATTACAATATAAAAATCCGGATTTCAATAAAATAAATCGGATTATAGTAGAGGTGGCCTTGTCAAAGGTGTCACACTGACACCCACCATACTGAGAATTAGCGGCTACATACAAATACAAATATGATGTAATATATATATTTATATAGCTAAAACGCAAGTGAATATAACATGTCTATATTTGATACTATTGTCCAGGGCTTCCAAAATCATTTGTTAATTTAAGTTTTGACACGAGTGTGTAATCTTTTTGTGTAGTTTTTTACTTTATGTTATTGACAGAGCGAGAGGTCCGGTCAATAAGTTATTTATTATATGGTTAAAGCAAGAACATTCTTCGAAAAACACTGTTAAAAAATTAAAACATTATTTAGACACGAAAAAGCCGTTCAATTGCGGCAAGTATTTTAATTATCACTCTGTCAGCATTTAAGGGTTATAAAAAGCGTTTTAACATAATTTAAAGTAGAATAGCAAGTTATTTTATATAAAAAAACTTACCAAGGTCACATGCAGGAAAAGAATTATTCAAGTTTTTCTTCACAAGCGGTCCATCTTAGCGGTCATACTATGAGATCAGTGAGCGGCCCGTAATCCAGATTACCGACCGCTCAAGAACCAATCAAAATGCTGCATTTTGCAGATAGACCGCCTTGCCATATAATAAATATATAATATATTTATATGTTTGTCTATCTATTCTCTTGTCAAGGGTTAAAATGCAATGAAAACTACAGATTTGCAAGTGCAGGTATATAAAGTAATCGGTTTTAAATAAATTAGCCGGTGGTAAACTTCCGCGGAGATATTTTGAAAGCCCTGATCGTCCGCATTCTATTAGTAGGTTAGTGTTATAGAGTTTGTCCCGTAGAAACATATCTGAACTATATAGTTGACTGTTTGTTCAATTGAAAAGACGACGCCAAATCTGAAAATCACCAAAACCCAAACTTCAAAGTTCAAAAATGTCTATGTACCAAATGTCCAGAAGTCGCCAAGACAAATACATCGAATTTCCCCCGACTTTCCAGATACTTCTTTATCAACAATTGTAAATATCACTTGAAAATCCCATAACTGTCATCAACCACAATCGTTCGTATGTATTTTTGTCTGTTATCGCGGGAATGGCCAGGCATTTTCTATACACTGTACGTATTTTTGCAAATATATACAAAATTGTTGAAACTTTTTCGATAACCATTTCGATTTCACACTTCGCAATGCCGTGGTACTGAAACATGACATCAGCTTTGCTGATGTGCGTACACCGATTAATTTTGAAAAGCCTATATATGAATTATGCTAACTCGTACTTGATATGAGCTGGTCTGTAAATATTTCGTTTCACACATCGTACCAACCAATCAATTCCGTTTTCAACACCATCTCTATGAGAAAGGAGAGGGTGAGAGTTATAGGTGATAGAAGACGGGGTAAATAGAAGTGGGAGTAAATATATATTTCAACTTCTTCAATCATCAATCATATATTTCAATCATCCTTAAGGAATTGACCATTTGCGTAATAGACTAAATTTTGATCTCAACAAAAATTTCATCACAGCTTGAAAGAGCATCACAAAACTAGTAATTTTCCAAAGTTTCGTCGCGAAATTTTGTAAAATGCGGAAAATATAGCCTTGCGAAGTTTGCAATTTTCAGTCATTTTAGATTACAAACGGGAAATTGACAGCCCCAAACGCTTCGAGGCTGTCAATTTCCCGTTTGTAATCTAAAATGACTGAAAATTACAAACTTCGCAAGGCTATATTATCTGCATTTTACAACATTTCGCAACGAAACTTTGGAATACTACTAATTTTGTGATGCTCTTTCAAGTTGTGATGAAATTTTTGTCTAGACTTGTTTAGATCAAAATTTAGTCTATTACGCAAATGGTCAATTGTGAAGAAGTTTCAGACAAAAATTCATATAGGTTCATACCGGGTGGCCCAAAAAAAGTACTCCTGTTTGATTCGTAATAACTTCTAAACAAGTAAAGTTTTTAAAGAGAAATAACTTGCATTAAATAGAGGAAGGACTAACTTAGATTTTGATATATTACATTTGTATTTAACTTAAAAATTCACGGATATATTAATGTTAAAAATGGGGAGCATATTTTGGAATGTGTCTAAAATTAGCGAAAATCGGCATATCAAATATTAACTCCAGCGTTTATTTGCTTAATGACATATTAGGCTAACTTGTATTTCAGCGAATTATCGTTAAGGTTTGTAAGGGATATGGCGTAGATTTAGACATCTTACATGTAAGTCTTAGCTCATTGTTTCCTGAAATATGAACGTTCGAAATTATGCAAGTATTTAATCTTAGGTCTTTGCAAACTTAAATGTACATGAAAGACTGACCATGGAAGGCAGGCGCTTAAATTTTTCGTATTCTTAAATAGCCTAATTTTTTTATGTTTTTAATGGGTTCAAACAGACTGAGTAGATTATTTCTCAGTTAGAGCAGGATGAATATTCTTTATTGAAGGAAATAATATTGCTTTTTGCAAATACACATCACCGTATCAACGCTACTATATTTTGTTACGTTTTGTTCCAAAAATGTTGCATGTCTCTGGGGAGTTGCTTAATTGTTATGTCTTATGGAGTTGTATGGTTTGATTGTGTTTCATATAATTCTCAGTTTACTCCATGAACTTGCCAAGATTAAGAAACGGCAAAAGAGTTTGGGTGTTCTTAACAAGATTTCAGAACGTTGCAGAAGTTAGAAGAGCTTCACAATTCCGTTGTGACAGCATGCCCTAATTCAGAACTACGAACGATCCAATGACGATCCTTCGCGATGCAGTGGTCTCATGAAATAAGGAAACGTATTCGTGCTAGGAACACACGCGAATTTCGGACGAATGAATCTTGCTTGTATTTTGTAGATATAATAATACTTTGTTTCATAATAAACAATTTGTCAAGTGTCATTTATTTACTGGTAATAGTGCATGTTTCAGTCGGGCAAATCTTGATTAATATTTGATACGCCGATTTTTGCATATTTCAGACACATCCAGAAATATCCTCCCGAATTTAAAGATTAATATCTCCGTGAATTTTTAAGTGAAATACAACTGTAATATATCAAAGTTTAAGTTAGTCCTTCCTCTATTTGATGCAAGTTATTTCTCTTTAAAAGCTATACTTGTTTAGATGTTATTACGAATCAAACAGGAGTACTTTTTTTTGGGCCACCCGGTATATATCATATACTTAAATGTACTAATCTATATGAGTTAAAAATTCTAAAATGTTCAAGGAACATCTAATTTGTAATGTTTCTTAGCATAAAAATTGATAAAAGAGTTTCCGAAACGATTTGTATTTGCTGGTAAAACTTCAAAAGATCTTTCTTTTCGTAATTCTCTATTGCCTGCTTTGGATGGTAAAAGTTTGGCAAGTTTATGATCATCATTTAAAACAATGTCGTTGAAGAGATTATTGGATAGATACTCCCGTCTGTTTTCAAGAGTAGAAATACCAGCGATGTTAAGAGCCTCGTCGTAAGACAATTCATAGAATATTATTTTCATTGCTCGCTTCTGTATACGTTCAATGTTTTTTGCAAGATTTCGTGGCAGGGAACTATGGAATAATTGGCACGCATATTCGAGGACAGACCTTATACAGCTGCAAAAAAATTTGACCAAATCTGCCGAAGCGACATCAGCACGTTTGAGTTGCCTCAACAAATATAAACGTTTAGCTGCTTTGGAGACAATTGAATTTACATGGTCTATCCATTTAAGGTCATTTCTTAATATAACTCCAAGCGATTTGATACTTGTCACTCTTTCCAAATTTCGGTCACCAATACGTATAGGTTCAAAAACAGGTGGTAATCGTGAAAAGGATATTACCATTTCTTTGCATTTAAATGGGTTTAGTTGAAAGGAATTGTCCATAGACCAAGTAGTAATATCATCGATATCCATTTGTAAAGTACTTTGTTCGTTTTTTTCAACAATTTCAGAGACCGTAGTATCATCGGCAAATTTCCACATTTCTGAAAGGTGATTTTGTAACACAAGGTCATTTATCATGGCTAAGAATAGCCAAGGCCCAAGTCGTGTGCCTTGAGGGACACCAGCTGGAACTTGGAGCCAGTCTGAGAAACAATTATCACTTAGTTTGACCCTTTGCCATCTATTACATCTTGTGTGTTACTCGTATGTTACTCGTATGTACTCGTATGTACTTGTGTGTTACTCGTATGTACTCGTGTGGTGTTTTAGTCACGATCCCGCAAAGTGTGCATTTTGCTTTTTAATTAAACTTAAAAATTCAAGGTACTTTTATAGAATTAAGAGTCAGTTTCTCTATTTAACCGAACAGCAAACAAAGATTCAATTAGTCACTCTGTGTACAGCTTGACTGCCAAGCTTTCTCAAGGTCTCAACTTGCTGGACGCGGATATGTCAGGGATATACTCTAACGGGGCTAACAACAGCAACAATAAAATTCTCAATCGTACCACGAAGAAGGCGATGTAGCTCAGAAAACAACGCCGGTAGGACCTGATATTAAAAATAAGACTTTTGCTGGCGAAGCCAGTTGGCAGAACATCTTGGCTGCCAACAACAAGCTTTCGAATAGATGACTAGTTTGGCTGTTCTTTCAGCGTTGTGTGTCCAAAATTCGTCAAAGATTTTGATAAAGGAGTGGTCATTATTTTTTTTTTGGGGGGGGGGGGGTGGGGAAAGGGGGAATAGCAAGGATCGAAACCTT